ACCAAGAGGCTGATGTAAAAGAATCTGATGGCACAAAGAATGAGGACTTAAAAATCTACACTACTGAAGCCAAGTGTGAGTCTCTTCACGAGAGATAAGTGAGGAGATCTTTATCTGCAAGTACTGCCAGAGGAAGCAAACGCAGGTAGAAGCAGTAGTACTTCCAAATGCTGACCGATTTCCTGCCAAGCAGCCCCATGTGCTGTACACTTCTGCCATGTCACCTGAGAGGCGTGCAGGCCATCTAGAGAAACCACCTATGATACAGCCAACTGCTAAACACTCTTACCAACATTCTTCATTGACTCAATGGGAAAGGCTGGTTGAAATATGGACTGCATGGCCAATGCTTTTCATATTCCTGAGTGGAAACTGTTATGATTACACATGAACTAGGGAAGGGCATAACATGTTTCAGAGATAGTAAGTACAAAATGTTCAGAGGTTCCAACTGGAGTGTCTACGAGCAATCAAACCATCAGCACAGAGGACTGGACATAACGGCCAGAACTACATGTCAGATGCCACACTACGTTCTGAGGTGTCCTCTAATCCTGATACCAGCTCTGAGGGAAAGAGTGCTACTTGAAACATTTACACTGACACCCTAAGAAGTATGTACTAGTGGGAAGTATTTTAACTGTTAACTTCTATATATAAGCCAAAAAAAAAAAAGAAAGAAAGAAAGAAGAAGAAAAGAAAAAGAAAGAAAATGTTAGCTATAATGCTCTGGGCACAAAGGATTTAAATAAAGTTCATGAATATTTTCTGTATATCCTTTAGAGCAGTTCCTCCTGCTCCCAGATCTCCAATAAGAGTCGTCAATCTTAAGTCAGGCCATCAGCATGATCAACGGTTGACATCAGAAAGAGGAAAAGCCAAAATGTTGTGAAGAAAGCTGTGTATTTAAAAGTACAAACTAAACTGGTAATAACACATGCTTCTAGCATTTGGACTTGAGAGGTGGAGACAGGAGAATGACCAGTTTGAAGCTAGCCTGACCAATCCTGTGTTGGAAGAAGTAAACGTGTAACTCATGAGCCAGTGTAGCAGGAATCCCAAAAAGCATAGACTCCTCTTCCCTCCATGTAGTCTTAGCTGGGCTATAACTCTCCATAGAGATCCAGTTGACTTCAAATTTAGGGATCTTTCTGCCTCTGCCTCTAGTGTTAGAAATAAAGTTATGTGACACCATGCCTAGCCCAAAATTGTCTTAAATTGCCCTATCAATCATTAGATGATGTCCACTCTAAATGAATAAACTTAGATTAAGGGAAAACCAGCAAGCAGAACCAAATGAATCTGGTGCTGGCAGTGGTAGCACACACCTTTAATCCCAGCACTCGGGAAACAGGGGCAGGCAGATCTCTATGAGTTCAAAGATCAGACTGATCTACAGTCAGTTTCAGGACATCTAGGGTTGCTCAATGACACTGTCTCAAAAATAAAAAAGTAAATTAAAATAAGGCTGATGATAAGATACAAACTAATGCTAATAATATACAAATGATGAGAGAATATTTCAGAAAAACAGTTCCCTAATATGACACGGGGCCCCAACTTGCACACAACAATCAGATCCATTAATCTTCACAAGCATCGAAACCGGCATCCTTAGCCAATGACACAATTCAAAACGCCAGATCCTCTAACTTCTCAAATCACCTCCTTCCATTAGGGTTTTCTCCACCACTTCACAACTTTTTTGAAAATCTTTTGATCATTTTGAAAACATTTTACCTACTGTAAATTTAAATGAAATGCCTTCTGAATGTCTCATGTTCCTCAACTTTCTCTCTCTCCTCTGCAGGGCAGCACTACACCAGCTCAGAGATCCTGCTCTACATATCATCCTCTTCTGTGACTGTAATCATTCTTCTCTGTAGAATTTTCTGTGCCCAGAAGTATGTTCAAAATTTACTTATGAATGAGCACAGTCATCAAAATAAATCCCAGAAGAAAACTGCATAAACATGAGTGGTTTTGTTTCTCCCTTTTTGTTTTGAAACAGCATCACCTAAGTAGTCCAGGCTTCATCAAACTCCCAGCATCACCTAAGTAGTCCAAGCTCCATCAAACTCCCAGCATC